GATTATACTATCAAAAGAGTCAGACTTGACAATGCTGGAGAGTTTACATCTCAAGCATTTAATGATTATTGTATGGCAGCGGGAATTGATGTTGAACATCCTGTGGCACATGTTCACACTCAAAATGGTCTTGCAGAATCATTGATTAAACGACTGCAGCTTATAGCTAGACCATTGATAATGAGGACAAAACTCCCCACTTCAGTATGGGGACATGCTATTCTGCATGCAAATGATCTAATTCGAATAAGACCAAATGCACACCATACATACTCGCCAATACAGTTGGCATATGGTCGAGAACCAAATATTACACATATAAGAGTTTTTGGTTGTGCAGTGTATGTACCAATTGCTCCGCCCCAACGTACAAAAATGGGGCCTCAAAGAAGGTTGGGAATATATGTTGGATATGATTCTCCATCAATAATCAAATACCTTGAGCCAAAAACGGGTGATGTTTTTACAGCTCGGTTTGATGATTGTCATTTTAATGAAGAGTTGTTCCCCCCCTTAGGTGGGAATGAAAAATCAATTGAGAAACATATTGAATGGCAAACATCATCAATATCATATCTTGATCCTCCCACCAAACAAAGAGAGCAAGAAGTTCAAAAGATCATACATCTGCAGAATATTGCGAATCAACTGCCTGATGCATTTACTGATTTAAAAAGGGTGACCAAATCACATGTAGCAGCTGTAAATGCACCGGCTCGAATTGAGATCCCAAAAGAAATGGCAAATGACGATATGCCGAATGAATTAAAGACACGCTTAAAACGAGGAAGACCAGTTGGGTCTAAAGATAAAAATCCTCGAAAGAAAAAAGAATTTCATGACTCGAGTTTGAAAACGAATCCAGATGATGGAAAAATTTCGGGACGAAATGAAAATATTGAAATGTCCATCAATTACGCAAACAATGGGGATCTTTGGAAGCGTGATGAGGTCATAAATATTGATGATGCATTCGCATATATGGTATCACAAAAAATTGACAAAGAGGTTGAAGATCCTGAACCAAAATCTATGATTGAATGTCAGAAAAGACATGATTGGGACAAGTGGAAAGGTGCTATTCAAGCCGAGTTAGATTCACTTAATAAACGGAAGGTTTTTGGACCTATTACCATTATACCAAAAGACATAAAACCTATTGGATACAGATGGGTTTTTGTCAGAAAAAGAAACGAGAAAAATGAGATCACAAGATATAAAGCTCGCCTTGTAGCACAGGGATTCTCCCAGAGGCCTGGGATCGATTATGATGAAACTTATTCCCCTGTTATGGATGCAATTACCTTCAGATACTTAATCAGTTTAGCGATCCATGAAAACCTTGAGATGCGTCTCATGGATGTTGTGACTGCTTACTTATATGGATCACTGGACGCTGACATTTACATGAAAATTCCAGAAGGGATTAAAGTACCCGAAACACTAAAGTCCAAACCTAAAGAGTTATGTGCGATAAAATTGAAAAGATCATTGTATGGCTTGAAACAATCCGGGCGTATGTGGTATAATTGTTTGAGTGAACAATTACTAAAACAAGGATACATAAATAATCAAATATGCCCGTGTGTCTTTATAAAAAGATCACAAGATGGAGTTGTGATAATTGCTGTATATGTCGATGATCTTAATATTATTGGGACTCCAAATGAAATCCAAGAAGCAGTCACATTACTGAAAGGCGAATTTGAAATGAAAGATCTCGGACAAACCAAATATTGTCTCGGCTTGCAAATAGAACGAGTCCAAAATGGAATATTTGTCCATCAATCTAATTACACTAAAAGAATATTGAAACGATTCAATATGGACAAGGCTAATCCCCTTTGTACCCCAATGGTCAATCGAACATTAGATGTTGAAAAGGATCCATTTCGACCCTGTGAAAAAGATGAAGAAATACTTGGTCCTGAAATACCATATATGAGTGCAATAGGAGCTCTTATGTATCTTGCAAATTGCACCAGACCAGACATATCTTTTGCTACCAACTTGTTAGCAAGATATAACTCGTCACCTACGAGGAGACACTGGAATGGAATCAAGCACATATTCCGTTATCTCCAAGGGACAATCGATTTGGGATTGTTTTACTCAAATAATAAAAAACATGAAATAATCGGTTTTGCAGATGCAGGATATCTATCAGACCCCCATAAAGCGAGATCTCAAACTGGCTACGTTTTCACGATTGGTGGAACTGCATTTTCTTGGCGTTCCCAGAAACAAACATTAGTCGCGACATCTTCAAACCATGCTGAGATCATTGCACTTCATGAAGCAACTAGGGAAAGCGTCTGGCTCAGAAACATGACTCAACATATTCAACAAGCCAGTGGATTATCGAATAATACTGACCCGACGGTGATATTCGAAGACAATGCAGCATGTGTCGCTCAAACCAAAGAAGGATACATTAAGAGTGACAGAACTAAACATATCCCGCCAAAGTTCTTCTCATATGCTCAGGAGCTTGAAAGAAACAAACAAATCAAAGTTCAATACATTCGATCAAGCGATAATGCAGCAGATCTATTTACGAAAGCACTTCCAACTACAATGTTTCGAAAGCATGTGCACAATATTGGAATGAGACATCTTCGGGATTTGCATAGACAATAACTCGAGGGGGAGCATGTGCGGCTGTACTCTTTTTTCCTTATCTCGGTTTTTTCCCACAGGGTTTTTCCAGATAAGGTTTTTAACGAGGCAGCATAAACGCACAGTTAATAGTAGATACTCCACTAAAATAGTCATTCAAGGGGGAGTGTTGTGAAAGTGCGCATGCACACCGCGTGCAGATTTTTTTAATATATGTGAATGACTATTTTGTCCCTAATGTAATTGTATTATTACGATTGTACCATCAAAAGTTTTCCTATAAATAGGGACTTCAGTTGTAATGAAAAATATACCGAAACGAATACAGTTTCTCTATTCTCTATAGTTTCAATTCTCTCTAGTTTTATAACACATTCCAATAATTTATTTTCTTTTTTGAAATGTATCATTTTATTTTTAGAGTAAACAAAATATGTGGGGTATGATTTTTTGTATTTGGCCCAGAGCCCCAAAAATTTCAGAACCGGCTCTACCCATTTTCAACACTAAGCTCCTTTTCCAAGCGATCTCAGGAAGATAATCATCATAGATTTCCAGTAGGAATAGTTCGAGCCATCCAATTGCGGAGGTCTAGACATGGATCCACCATCATGACTCATGGTTACCCGTTGAACAAACCCTCAGAATCTTCGTGTATGTAAACGAGAACCAGCTCTGATATCAATTGAGATTGTGGGGGATATACCATAATTGCTCTGAGTATAATAACAAGTAAACTTAGATGTAAACTCACACAAATGCAGAAGTAGAGGTCTACGAAACATGAACCTTCAGGGCAGCATCTCACCCTCCCTCCAGAACCCTTCATATACGCGAATGTTAGACCCATTACAAATCGGTTTTGCAATGAAGACTCCCTCTTCACTACCTATCTTGTAATCACTCACTACACTACTTTCCTATCACAAATTTCTTGTGGATTTTTACAACTCAAATCCCTTGAGTTCCTTCTAAGTATTCCTCCCAAACACTTATACAAATAAATCAGAGTATATAAAATTGCTCGCTCACAGAGAACAAGAACAACCTCTTGTCTCACCACACAACAAAATAAAATCAAGCTTACTGAAAGGAATAGAAAAACTCGAGAACAAAGACTCGCACAAGACTTCTCTTAGGAATCAAGAAACAACTATGAGTGTTGGATTTAGGGGGAGTTGTTGTAATATAAGAGAGTGTGACTTAGTAAGTCCCTCTGCACATATCTCATATCACGTCCTCTCCTGAGAAGGCTTCAACAGACTGACTGCTCTTCTTCTCTATGCTTCAAGGTGGATTCTTGTTAGATTGCTCAATTACTGAACCAGAGGAGTGAAGCACATTGAGGAGTATTGTCTATTGTTGCTGATATTTATTCCTTTGAGAGAATTTCTCTAGATGCAACTTTTATTTTGACAAATTTGCATGTTCTTCTTCTTTGCATTTGGCTCTAGAGAGGACCTAATGTGGGTTCTAATGTGGGTTTCTCATGGCTTGTTGTTGGTCCATATATGTGGATTACTACCTAGCTTGTGCTCAGTCAAGTACTCAATGTAAAACCTTTCTATTTGAGTTTTATCTTATGG